AGAATTTTACCAAACACCTAAAGAAGGATTAATACCAATTTTATACAATCTCTTCCAAAAAAATAGAAGAGATAATTTTCCAATTCACTCATTAAAATCAGTGTTAACCCTGACACCAAAATCAGACAAAGAGAGTAAAATAAATAAATAAATAAATAAATAAAAATACTACAAACCAATATCACTCATGAATATAGATGCAAAAATTTTCAACAAAATATTAGCAAACCAAATCCAATTATGCATAAAAATAATTACACACATGTCCAAGTGGGATTTATTCCAGGAATGCAAGGCTGATTTGACATTCAAAAATCAATGTAGTCTACCATATTACAAAGCTATAGAAATAAAAATAATATGATCATATTAATTGATGCGGACAAAGCATTTGACAAAATCTAACATCCATTCTTGATAAATATTCCAGCAAGTTAGAAATAGAGGGAAACAACCAGGCATGATGCCTTATGCCTATAATCCCAGCACCTTGGGAGGCCGAGGTGAGAGGATCGTTTGATACCAGGAGTTCAAGACCAGCCTCTAAAAAAAAGAAAAAAAAAATGAAACCCCCCCCAATCTCTACAAAAAACTTTTACAAAAGTTAGCCAGATGTGCTGGTGCATGCCTGTAGTTCAAGTTTGCAGTGGGAGGATCAGTTGAGCCTAGGAGTTCAGAGCTGCAGTGAACTATGATCAAGCTACTGCACCCTAGCCTAGACAACAAAGTGAGATCCTGTCTCAAAAAAAAATAAAAATAAAAAGGAGGAGGAGGAGGAAATAGCGGAGAACAACCTCCATTTGATAAAGAACATATGTTTTAAAAAACCTAGAGCTAATAGCATATTTTAATGGTGAAAGGCTTAATGCTTTTCCCTTAAGATCAAGGATAACATTAATATTTCATATTAAATTTCTAGCCACTGTATAAGGTAAGAAAAAGAAATAAACGGCATATAGGTTGAAAAAGAAGACCTAAAACGGTCTTTATTTGCAGATATGATTGTCTATGTAGAAAAACCAAGGAATAGAAAAAAAAAAAAAAAGCCTATTTTTTAACTCTCAGAATAAGTGAGTTCAGTTTGGTTGGGCACGGTGGCTCATGCCTATAATCCCAGCATTTTGGGAAGCCAAGGTGAGAGGATTGCCTGAGCCCACAGGTTCAAGACCAGTCTGGGCAACTTGGCAA